CACCAGGGAAGTCCAAACTTGCCTTGATTTTGATGAAGTTGATAGTTTTGAGGAGTTGATAGTTTCAGGCATTTTGAACATTGTCCTTCAATTGGACTTGGGCATTTTGTGGGTTTTCATCCTTATCTGAGTTCAGGGCCCTGCCTCCTGGGTGTATCTGTGTTGACACTGTTTGTTCTCTCAAGGTTTTTCTTTTCTTTCCTTTTCTTTTTTTCTTTTTCTATTTTTTGGCCACACTGTGTGGCATGTGGGATCTTAGTTCCCCGACCAGGGATCGAACCCATGCCCCCTGCAGTGGAAGCACAGTGTCTTAACCACTGGACCGCCAGGGAAGTCCCTCTGAAGGTTTTTCATTGGAGCTGCTAGCTGAAGCTCACAGCTGTGGCTCTGCTTTAATCTGTAGTTAGGGCTGAATTGAAGAATGTGGATTTTATCATTTTCTCTTTCCACAAAACTTTTTGTATCACTACCGTAAATGGAAAAGCAGTTGCATTTGGAGCAAACAGGTAAAAATAAACACAAAGGAAACAATAGTGTTATTCATTATTAGCTGGCTACAGTTGCTGGCTGAAAGCACTAAACCCGAGATAGGCTGTCCCTGACTGGGTGCTTCTACGCACCACGCTTCGTGCTATCTCATGGAGTCCTCACAATAACCCCTGTGGGTACTATTATTACGACCATTTTATAGATGAGGAAACTGAAGTTCAGGGACAATAACTTGCCCAAGTCACAGAGTTAGTAAGTGATGGAGGCAGTTTGAACCTAGGTACCTCTGTCTCCAAGTTCCACACACCTATGGCTTACAGCAGTGATTCTCAAACTTGAGTGGACATCGGAATCACCAGGAGAGCTTGCGAAAACAGATGCTGCCCATCCCCTCTGAGTTTCTGATTCAAGAGATCTGGAATGGGCCTGAGAATTTGCTTTTTTTTTTTTTTTTTTTTTTTTGGCCACGCTGCACAGCTTGTGGGATCCTCGACAGTGAAAGCTTGGAGTCTTAACCACTGGACTGCAAGGGAATTCCAGAATTTCCATTTCGAACAAGGTCCCAGGTGATGTTGGTGCTGCTGGTCGGGGTGTCACACTATGAGAAGCATGAGCCTTGTGCCTATAGCCCAGCCCTTGGCACAGAGCAACCACCACTGAAATGTTAGATCATCTGCCAACAGCTGAGGGGCAGAGGTTGGACCAGCTGCAGGGAAGGGTGGGCAAAAAAGAAAGTGAAGTGGAGTCTTAGCTCTGCAGATGACTGGCCCCGTGACTTGGGGCACATCCCTCTCCTGCTCTGAGCCTCACTCCATCTCCTCTCTGTAATAAGAGGAGGATGAATCAGACGGCCTCTAATTTCTGCCCTGAAAGTTTCTGATTTGGAGGACAGGAAATAAAAAAAGTGCAGTCTGCACTTACAAAGAGACAGAGAAGAAATTAGAGGTGCTTTGCCTGGCCCAGCATCCCCACCCCTGACTCAGGATGAAAGCTGTGCAAGTTTGGTCTTAGCATCTGAGAATGGGCTCCAACTACCTGGCCCTGGGGAAGTTTCCAGAGGATAGCCCTCCTCCCGCCCCCATCTGGAGTTGTGACTCTTCCCAGCACATAGGGGCAATGTAGAGATAAGCCAGGTCACCCATTCAGCTCACCAGCTGAAAATCAGAAGTGAAACTAGACCTCTTAAAATATAGAACAGGCAATGTCCAATAGGGTAAAGATTAGGACTTTGGAATCAATAGGGCCTGGATTAAAATCCTGGCCCCATTGCCTTCTGGATGAGCTGCTTCAAGCCCTTTAATCTGGGCAAGCAGTTTTATCTGCAGTGAAGAGCTTCTCTTGGGCTCACCTAGAGGTTGATTTATTGATTTTTTTATGATGTAAGTAAATCAGTAAGGGAAAGGTTATCTTGGTTTTATGTTTGTTTGTTTTCGGCTGCACCACGTGGCATGTGGAACTTCCCTGACCAGGGACGGAACTTGTGCCCTCCACAGTGGAAGCGCGGAGTCTTAACCACCGGACCACCAGGGAAGTCGGGGAAAAGTTGTCTTGTAATCAGAAGTTAAATACTAACAAAACAAAATTTTTGAGGACTTGGTCTGTGCCAGGTATTATTCTAATCATCTGACGTGGATTGACTCCCTTAACTAACTATAACAATCTTATGAGGTAGATACTAGTATTAGCCACATTTTACAGAGGGGAAAACTGAGTCATATGGAGGTGAAATAACTCCACCCAGGCCACAGAGCCAGCATGTAGCTGAGTCAGGATTTAGACCCAAGCCATCTAGCTCCAGAGCCTAAAAACCCTAATCACTCTGATGTGCTTCCTGCAACCCAGAGCTGAGCCCCAGGGACCTTGTAGTGATGGAGAAGAGGTTTGCCACCTCCCAGAGCTTTAGAGTCTCCTGTGACTGCAGTTTCTGCCTCCTGGCACATGTGAGTCCCACTGATACATGACTTTGTCACCCTCTCAGGTCAGCTTCTCCTTCCTGCTACAAATGGCTGAAGAAGCCCTCTCCTACAGGTGTCTCCAAGTGGGCGGTGAGAAGCATTGGTCCTCAAGATGACTTAGATGGTGGCCTGGGTGAGTTATTTCACCTCCATAATCTCAGTTTCCCCCTCTAGGCCTTAAATAATAACAAATTACATGGGAGAAAGCTATTCCCTTTTCAGTTCCAATAACCTCAAGGGGAAAGTCTTCGCTGGGGGCTAGACTTGCACGTGTGTATAATTCTTGCTGACTTCCCCCTTTTAAGAACAATAAGTCCTCTTGGTTTTCTTTCCAGACTATATCCCAAATCCCGCCCTTCCTACCACGTCCACTGCCACAACCTGAGTGCAAGTGCTGCTTACTGGCCTCCTGACCTCCATGCTTGCTTAGCTAAATTCAGTTCTCTACCCAGTAGCCAGTGTGCTCTCTCTACAGCTCAAATTCAGTTATGTCACAACTGTTTAAAAACCTTCATCTGCAATGGAGGTAAAATCCAAACTACTCATTTTGGCCTACAGGCCTCTGTATCCCACCTGCCTCAGTGACCCCATCTCCCTCTGTTCCCCCTCCTCCTGGCCTTCTGTCTACCACTCACACAAAGCCTCTCTTTACACCCACTAGAAATGGTTGGTCCCCCCGTCCTTGTAACTGGCTCCTTCTCATCATTTAGGTCTAGATTCAAATGTCACCTCCTGGGAGAGGAGTTCCCCAACACTGTAACTTCAGCAGCTCCACCTGTCTCATTCTCTACCCAGCCACCTGAGCTCCCTGGTACTAGTCTGCACTCAGCTACAGCATCTATCTTTTGTCTTTCCTACCACAGTTGGGCTGTAAGCTCCTGAAGGGCAGGGACCAACTCAGTCTTGGTCATTTTGGTATCTCCTGGGCCTGGCACAGTACCTGACCAACGGCAGGCATTAAACACACATTTGTTAATTGACTGAGAGTGACACTCAGGGCTCCTGGCAAGAGCCTCCTCTTGAGAAAAGGGGGGACACCTTCCTGCCCTCAAAGTCCTGTTTTCTAGATAGAGATTCCCCTGCCTGTAGGTGCTTACGAGATTTTGGGGGGTACACAAATTCCACCTTACTTATTTTTTTTTTTTGGCCCTGCAGCACAGCATGCAAGATCTTTGTTCCCCAAGCAGGGATTGAACCAGAGTCTTAACCAGTGGACCGCCAGGGAAGTCCCCAAATTCCATCTTAAATAACATTAAATCATAGCGTGAGAAAGTGGATCTTCTGTTCTCTGTGAATTTTTCTGATTACATAAAAGAAAAATTCTGTTAGTGTTACTCCTTATCAGTTTTCCAACACTTGCTAATCTCTGATTTTTACAAAGTCCACAGTCTTACAGTTTTCTACAGACATCAGTATGTAGCTAGATTATAATATTATACTATTTTCACTATAGAATTCATAGATGCTTTCTATTAAAGTGGGAAGTGATTTAAGGTAATGTTATGGTGTTCCTCTTTCAAATAAATGTATTAGGCTTTTTAAAAAAGTAAATTGGTTTAAAGACATCAAATATAGGTGTATGTGTATGTGGTCAAGGTTGTGAAGGTGGAGTGCCAATGGCTACAGTTGGAGAATCACTGTTTCAGGTAGAGCAGCCCTTTATGGAACACTAACTGGCCCCAAATGAGCCCCTGGGCTGAGTGACATTTAGTTGGTTTTTTAGTGATATGGGAAGTTATTCAGCTGGTGTGAATGAGGGGCTGGAGCCTTTCTCCTGGACCTCAGTGCATGAATTTGTCCATCTCAGTCTATTTTCCTCCAGCGTAGGGCCTTTGTTCTTTTCTGTGACTTCTGTGGTCGTGGGTAGAGAATGGTGGTTCTGAGACACAAAATACTTAATATCCTGGTGTCAAAGTTTCCTAGTGAAGTCAGGTCCTGGGCTCTTCTTTGTCAGTCTCATAATCAGCTTTTATTTGTCGATGCACCAAATAACCTAGTGCACAGCCTGACCACTGAAAGTTAGAGCTCACCTATGTAAATTCTGAAGTAAAAAAAAAGAAAAGAAAAATTGGTCTTCCACAGCCCCAAGCACCCTCTACCCTCCCTGTCAATCTGACCTCCAAATGTACGGAGTCATGTACATAAAATATGCAACAAGTCCACACCTTGGACTCAAAATGTGCCAACTTTGTGTACGTTGTTTCTGTAGTGTGGTATTGTAATATCCAACTTCTCTGTAAGTCAGACATGCAGCAAACTTAAATATTTGGCTCAAAAGCCGTGTAACTTTGGCCAAGTTGCTTAACCTCTCTGAGCTTTAGTCTCTACTTCCTTGTGCTATTTTAAGATTAAATAATTCATGCAAAGCACGGGGTCTGCCTCAATGTAAGTATTCAATAAATGGCTATTCACAGTTTTATTTTGCATCTCTTCAATCTTAGCCCACAAAGGCTGCTCTCCAGTTTTATTAAGTTCGTAAATCTCGGCTGCTTCCCTCCACCCTTTGCACCAATTCATTCCTTCACCAGAGCCGTGCCTTGTGCCGGATGCAGGAATCAAACCAGGTCCCTACCATTGCCAAGCCCACAGCCGAGAAGGAAAGAGAAACTCCTAAAGCGAGCAAATGGCTGTAATCGAGGTTTCTTTCCAGTGTTCTAAGGGGCGAATGGGTAGGGGACGACTAATTGTCTGAGACTTAGTGGTGGGTGTATGTGTGGGCGGGGGAGGGAGTCATTCAGGCAGCGCTTTCCCGTATAAAGCATGGTCACGGGAGAGGGAGCGGACTGTTGGTGCACTCCTAAGGACTGTGCGTATCTGGGGGAGGCGGCAGGATCCAGGGCCTGGAGGGCCTTGAACGCCCGGCCACGAGACCGGGGTTCCAGCTATCGGCGAAAGTAACCCGGAGAAGCTTCTGCCCAGGAGTGAGGCTTCGGCCCGGCCAAGTCACCTTTCAGGAGGGTAGCAACACAAAAGCAGAAGGAGGACTCCCGCCCGGGCGGAATGGAAAAACCCCGGTAGTTGAGGACGGAAGTAACCGCAAGCCCGTGACAGAACCGCGGAAGAACTCCCGGCGTTCTCTACGTCCGGAGGAGCCGGAAACTCCCAGCGCTAGGTGGGTGAGCCCGGCGGCACGGCGGCGGCCAAGGGAGCGGGGCCGGCTCTCTAAAGGCAGCTGATTGGTCGGCCCCCGGCGGCGGCGTTGGCGGCTGCGCGTGGAATTGTCACCTCGGCCTGGTGAGTCGTCGGTTCTAGCTTGGGCCCCGCCGGCTCCCGAACTGCCCCTGGGCGCCCGGCTGTAACTCTCTGTGGCCGGCTGCACACTCCCGGCTTCCCGAGACATGACCTGGAGGGGCAGAGCGAGGCCGGGGCCTCTCCTTGGGCGCACTTCCACTCTTCAGTTCCAGGCTGTCGGGCCAGGACCCCTCAGGGATTTTCTTTGTGGGGGAGGGGCGAATCATGCAAGGCCTAGATGACCCCATCCATAGAGAAAAGCTGTGCGCGCCTGTAGCGGGGAGGGCGGCCGAGTGGAGTTCGGTTCCCCCGGCCGCATTGAAGCCCGGTGGGAGACGATGAGGAGGCCTAGATCCTGGCTGGGGGATTCGAGGCGGGGCGCCCCCGGAGGGGGAGGAGGAGGAAGAGACAGTAGTGGGGGACAATTGGAGTCTGGAGCTCGGGGGAGGGGCCTGGGTGGGTCGGAAATGGGATACAGGTGGAGTTTGAGACCCCCCAGGTCAGAACCCTTGGAGTCATCATCCTCCGAAGAATGGGTTGAAAGACCAGGAGCCAGCCAAGGACAGCCATAAAGGGAGGTACAGCCAGCCGCCCCAGTATCCAAAGCATCAATTTTAAGAAGGATTTTATGCTTCTTGGCAGAGCATGAACCCACACCGAGATAAAGCACGATGAGGCCTAATAAATGTATTTTAGATTGGGTCATTACTTTGGTAAGACAAAGACATAATGAATCTTTAAAAGATTTTATTATGGAAGTGTTCAAACTTACACAAAAGTATAGAAAAATACAGAAAATAGCATACCATTTAGGATCCTAAGTACTCGTCACCCAGCCTCAACTACGAATGGCCACCCCGGTTGCATAACATACATGTTAAGACACGCCTCAAATCCACACATAATATGCTAATCTTAAGTTTTAAAAAGGTGGATTTTTTTGTTTTTGTTTGTTTTTTTCGTGTTTAATGGGTATAAAGGTTCCATTTTGCAAGAATAATAGAGTTCTGGAAATTGCACAGCAATGTGAATGTAATTAACACAACTGGAGTGTACATTTAAAAATGGTTAAGTGGGGCTTCCCTGGTGGCGCAGTGGTTGAGAGTCCGCCTGCCGAGGCAGGGGAGACGGGTTTGTGCCCCGGTCCGGGAAGATCCCACATGCCGCGGAGTGGCTGGGCCCGTGAGCCGTGGCCCCTGAGCCTGCACGTCCGGAGCCTGTGCTCCTCAACGGGAGAGGCCACAACTGTGAGAGGCCCGCGTACCACAAAAAAAAAATAAAAGGTTAAGTGGTAAACTTTATGTCATGCGTTTTTAACCACACACACACAAAAAGTTCCTTTCAAATTAGAAAAAAGAAATCTAGGGAATTCTCTGGTGGTCCAGTGGTTAGGACTCAGCGCTTTCACTCTGGGGGCTTGATCCCTTGTCTGGGAACTAATATCCCGAAAGCCGCATGGTGCGGGCATTAAAAAAAAAAATCTAATGCTGTAAATTAAGAAAGAAAATCTGAATTCAAATGTGCAATGGAAAATAACTCTTTGCCAAGTAGGGGCCCATAGAGTTGTATTTTTAACTGTGGAGGCTCTGCAATGAACCTATTGGTTTTGAGGCTCAGAGCATTGGGACCTGGACTGGGGTGGAGTTTAAGCACTGGTAGTACCCTCTGGTTTATACTAGAACTTGAAGGGTTGGGCCAGCCCAGGTGTGTGAATAAAATTTCTCCCAAATGTTCCTCTTTTCTTGCAGTCTGAGGCACACTTTTTTTTTTTTTTTCTTCCGGCCGTGGCGGCTTGTGAGATCTTAGTTCCCCCACCAGGGATTGAACCTGGGCCCTTGGCAGTGAAAGTACAGAGTCCTAACCAATGGACTGCCAGGGAATTCCTTGAGGTGCACATTTAATCTTTAGGGGAGCTCCTGTGCTACCTCATACCTTCATTCATGGAAGGGTGAGTGAAGTGTGAATTCACATCTTTCTCTCTACTCCCGTTCTTTAGGGTGGCCCTTGGTAGTCTGTCTCCAATATGATTTACTCTCTGTCTCCCAAGTGTACCACATGTCTGTCCTTCACATTTTCTAGAGCAGCTGGTGTTAACTGGGAGGCAGCCTTACATATTTTAGCTCTTTTCGAAATGAGTCCTGCATAGGTAGCCCTGAAACCTTCCTTCTGCCCACCCCAAACAAGCAAATAAACAAAACAAGCTATAAAGCAAGAAAGTAACTGCCAGGTTTGGGTTTTTGGCTCCTCTTGTCTTCCTCCCTGGGCTCCAGAACCAGTATTTCTCCTGGAACTAAATTTTCTTGATATGAGTTGGCATTTATTGGAGAACTAAACAGCCAATCAGATAAAACTTGCATCAGAAAATTACATATTTCATTTATTTATTTAAATTTATTTATTTTTGGCTGCCTTGGGTCTTCGTTGCTGTGTGCGGGCTTTCTCTAGTTGCGGTGAGGGGGGGCTACTCTTCCTTGTGGTGTGCGGGCTTCTCATTGCAGTGGCTTCTCTTGTTGCGGAGCCCGGGCTCCAGGCGCACGGGCTTCAGTAGTTGTGGCTCGTGGGCTCTAGAGCACAGGCTCAGTAGTTGCGGTGCATGGGCTTAGTTGCTCCGCAGCACATGGGATCTTCCCGGACCAGGGCTCGAACCCGTGTCCCCTGCATTGGCAGGTGGATTCTTAACCATTGTGCCACCAGGGAAGCCCTACATTAAAAAAAAAAAATGTTAAAAAAGAAAATTACATTAGTTATTGAGTAACAGCTTTTTAGAACTATTCAGGAAAAAAATTAGATGATCGATTACTTCACTGCATGTCAATGATTGTAAGAAGGAATTAATGACAGGGTCCCTGGTGAATGATGACAAAGAGCAAAAGTTAGATTCAATCACAAGGTGAATTTGATTGATGTTGAAGTTTATACACTCAGAGCTATCAAAATGCTCATTATTAAAATATCTGTGAGAAAAACATTACTGCTCATATGTAACTCACTTACCCTTTAACTTCTTTTTTTTTCCCATAGAAATAATTGTGATTTTGGATTATGTGAGGTTTTTTAGGAATGTAGCCATCATGTTACACCATAACTGCCTGTACCCGAAAGGTGATACAAAACGATTGAACAATTTTCTGATGTTTTCCTTTGTAGAGAAGATGGAAGAGCTGAGTCAAGCCCTGGCTAGTAGCTTTTCTGTGTCTCAAGATCTGAACAGCACAGCTGCCCCACACCCCCGCCTGTCCCAGTACAAGTCCAAGTACAGTTCCTTGGAGCAGAGTGAGCGGCGCCGCCGGTTACTGGAACTGCAGAAATCGTAAGGGATACTTTAACTCCTTGGCTTCTCTCTGTAGGCTGGGAGCTGTGAACCATTCAGGAGGCTCCAGGCTTGTCTCTACAGAGCCACCTTCAAAGTGGACCCTTTGTAGGTTGTTCTTCTTGCCCACAAGGTTGGGAGGGGTAAATCCTGGCAGAGGTAGACATCCTTTACACCCAGAGCTTGGGAAAAATGAGGGAGTAGGGAGAGACTGAAGTTTGAAAGCAAAAACTCAACTCTCTGGTTAAATTTTTCTTTTCTTTTTTCCTGGCAGCAATACTGAGCTTTGTAGTTTAGGGACTTGTGAAAGCCACTCCCATACTTCCACTCCCCACATTCCCTGTGTGCCTTCTCCTGCAGTCTGACTCTTGGCTTTGGTGTGGGCTTCCTGTCTTCCTTCAGCCCAGATGTTTCTGTGGAGCCCTTGGGAATTCAAGACAAATAATTCCACAGGGAATCTGAGGAAATGTGTTCCATACACTTCGGTCTCAATACCAAGATGAGCAAACAGGGAAAGAGATTGATTGCAGGATAGGAGTGTTTGAGGATGGGCTGCTCTGAAGGCAGGGCCTATCCTTTTATTCTCAGTGCAACACAGGCCTCTTCTGGTTAAGGAATTAAGGATTAGGAGGAACTATCGACAGCTGCATTTTGCCCACTGCTTCATCACTAGATGTGTTTAGCAGAGATGGTTCCCTGTGGCCTCTGGGTTGCTTGCAGATTACATTCTCAGATCACGCATTCCCCCGATCCCCAGTTTTTAAAAATTGTGATTAATTTGGAATAGGTAATATGTTCGTATGGTTCAAAATTCACAATACATAAAAGAGTATATGGAGAAGGGACTTCCCTGGCGGTGCAGTGGTTAAGAATCCGCCTGCCAATGCAGGGGACATGGGTTTGAGCCCTGATCCAGGAAGATCCCACATGCCGTGGAGCAGCTAAGCCTGTGCACCACAGCTACTGAAGCCCGTGTGCCTAGAGCCTGTGTTCCGCAACAAGAAAAGCCACCACAATGAGAAGGCCCCGCTCGCCACAACCAGAGAAAGCCCGCATGCAGCAACGAAGACCCAACACAGCCATAAATAAATAAATAAGTGTTTTTAAAAAAGAGTATGTGGTGAAAAGTCTCCCTCCAAAATGTCAAGTTCCTCTCTCTCTTTTTTTTTTTGGCCACGCTGAGCAGCTTGCAGGATCTTAGTTCCCCAACCAGGGATTGAACCTGGGCCCGCGGCAGTGAAAGTGCCGAGTCCTAACCACTGGACCGCTAGGGAATTCCCAACATCTTATAGTACACTTGTTACAACTAATGAACAAATATTGATACATTATTATTAACTAAAATCCATACTTCTTTACTCAGATTTCCTTAGTTTTTTCTAAGTGGCCTTTTTTGAAAGTTAGGAACTGCAAAAAGGTCTGGCTGTTCCTCAGAAAGTCCCAGAAGCTGTCCTTGTCTCAAACTTCTCACAGCATCTCGGTGTTTCCTCTCTGCAATCCCTGGGAGCCTTCAGACGGTATATCTGCCAGGCAGGGAAGTGTCAGCTCTCACCTGGGGTGGAGATGGGAGTCTAGGGTGGGGTGGGTAGGAGTAGGATCAGCCACTAGCGAACCCTGAGAATTCCTTTAAATATTGTACCTTGCCTATTCTTAGGAAACTGAGGAAAGCTGAGTGTGTTCAGAGGGGGTTTCCTATTTAGGATCTGTGAGGAGGTGGTCACTAGTTAAGGCTTACAAAGGAAATTTTGTCATCTCTTACCCCACCACAATTCCCAAGTTGCTCTTGAATTTGGAGACTTTGAATTACATCTGTCACATTTCAGGGTGTCTTCCTATAAGACATAAAGACCTGTCCTTATGCCTTTTCTTTTCTCAGAAAGCGGCTGGATTATGTGAACCATGCCAGAAGACTCGCTGAAGATGACTGGACAGGGATGGAGAGTGAGGAAGAAGAAGAAAAGAAAGATGATGAGGAAATGGACGTTGACACTGGCAAGAAGTTACCAAAACGCTATGCTAATCAAGTGAGTGCTCCAGAGAAGATTAGGTGCAGCTGGTCCTGCTCCCTTTACTGTGCAGTCAAAGCTCTTTACTTGCCCTAAAGAGGAGGATGAGGCAGGAAGAAGGAATAGCATCTGCAACGAAAGTGCTGATGTACATAAAAGTTATGAGATGAAAAGAGGTGACTTACAGTTTTGTGTGCTGACAGGGGTCACTGATAGAGTCTGGGTAGTGGGTTTGGGAATCATTACCCCATGCTGTTAGCAAAGGCTTCCGGCCTGCTGCATTTAAAGCCCCTGAGCTACTGATATGCTAGCGGACGCCATTCTTTACTAGCCGTTATACAGCCGTTTTGGATCAGGCCTGCCCAGCCCAGCACTGTCCCCCACCCCACCTCCCAAGCTGGTAGTCTTTCCCAAGTGGTGGACTAACATGCCAGCCTTGGGTCTTCACACTCAGGTGGTAGGAGCTTGGAGGTCCTTGAATACTGGGAGCCTGCCCAGCCACCCCAGGCCAGCCAGTTGGCCTAGGTGAGGTTGAGGCCATGAAACAACAGATCGCTATAACAAACTTGACTAAGTGGCCTGTTGATTCCGGAGAGGAAATCAGTGTGGCTTGTGGCGCCATAGGTGAAGCAGGCAAGGAGACTGTCCAGTGCTCTAGGCAACCCAGTTATTCTCCAGAAGGCAGGGCATGTGTCTGAGTGGGGCTGGGGGTCTACCCTGCTATTGTATACTTCTCTCTATAACCCAAGTGTCTTGTCACTTCAGAATCCTCTCCCACCTTAAGAATATGGTTCCTGGGTGCACACAGTCCCATCCTCTTTCTCTGCCTCAAATATAGCACAGACATCTTCTATGACAAAGTACAATTCTGTTGAGCAAACATTGTTTTTTTTGTTGTTTTTTAAATTTTTTGGCCATACTGCACAGCATGCGGTATCTTAGTTCCCTGACCAGGGATTGAACCAATGCCCTCTGCAGTGGAAGCACAGAGTCTTAACTACTGCACCACTAGGGAAGTCCCGAGCAAGCATTGTTTTGTTTTGTTTTTGTTTAAAACAGAATGTTGGCTTTTTAAAAAAACATTTATTTATCTATCTGTCTATCTGCGCCGGGTCTCAGTTGCAGTACGCAGGATCTTTGTTGCTGCATGTGGGATCTTTAGTTGTGGCATGCAGGGTCTAGTTCCCTGACCAGGGATCGAACCCCGGACCCCCTGCATTGGGAGTGTGGAGTCTTAGCCACTGGATCACCAGAAAAGTCCCCCCCAAGCAAGCATTGTTGAAGGCCCTGTTCTATGTTAAGCTAGGCTATTCTCAGGGGAAGATAGACGTGGGCCAGAAATAGCCCATGCACTCCTCTAATAAGTGTAGATTATGGTTTTTGCAATAAGAAAGTGAAATTAACTTCCAACAGAGAAGGAAGCAGGGTTGTGAAATCAGGAAAAGCTTAATGAAAGAGGAGACAGTTTGGAAACATGGGTAGGACAGGTGGAGGTACAGAGCATTTCAGGGCATTCCAGGCCGCAGGATCAGGCTGAGCAAGAGCCCAGAGGTGGGAGAAGAATATATGATGTGTTCAGGAGGGGTGTGCAGAGTGTGTGTGAGGATGGAGCAACATAGGGTAGGGGGAGGAATATAGCAGAAATATGTACAAGGTTTTAGACTCTGGGTCTAGATTGTGAGGAACCACCGAGACTTTTTGAGCCAGAGGCAGAGGTGGGACTTCATGTGATGACTACCACATCAGTGTAGAAAGGCCTGGAAGAGAGAGACTGTGGTAGGGGGCTTAGGTTTGCTAAAAGATCTGATGAGTGCTAAGGGCAGTGGAAGTGGGAAGGAAAAGAGGTCATGAGTATGAGAGATGTTGCCAGGTGGAATGAACAGAATTTATGGCTAGGAGAGGCAATATGAGAAGCGGGTAAGGGTTTAAGCTCAGGTCGCATGGACTGACCTCAAAGTCAGGCTCTGTGTTGACCATGGGCAAGTTACTTAACCAGTCTAAGTCTCTAGTTTCTTATCCGTAAAATGGGACATCGTAATAGTACCTATCTCATAGGATTGTTAGAAGGATTAAATGAAATAGTGTACCTTAAATACCTAGCCCAGAGCCCATAATGAATGCCCCACAGTATTAGCTGCTACTGCTATTTTTTTAAACAGCCATATTGAGATACAATTCACATAACATACAATTCACCCATTTACAGTGTACAATTCAGTATTTTTGTAGTAATTCACAGAGCTGTGCAACCATCACCACTATCTAATTCTAGAATATTTTCACACCCATTAGCCGTCACTCCCCATTTCCCCTTCCCTCCAGGCCCAGCAATCACTGATCTACTTTCTGTCTCTATGGATTTGTCTGTTTTGGACGTTTCATATAAATGGAATCATATGAGATACATCCTTTTGCTTCTGGCTTCTTTCACTTAGAAGGTTTTCAAGATTCATTTATGTTGTAGCATGTGTTAGAACTTCATTCCTTTTCATGTCTTTTCAAATAATATTCTGTTGTATAGATATACCACATTTTGTTTATCCATTCATCAGTTGATGGCCTTTTGAGTTGTTTCCACTTTGGAGCTATTATGAATATTGCTGCTATGAACATTTATTTACATGTTTTTGCATGGACATATGTTTTCATTTCTCTTGGGTATATACCTGAGAGTGGAGTTACTAGGCCATATGATAACTCTGGAGCTATCAGACTATTTTTCAGAGTGACTACACCATTTTACATTCCCACCAGCAATGTTTGAGAGTTTGTTTCTCCACATCTTTGCCAATACTCGTTATTGTCCGTACTTTTGAATATAACCATCCTAGTGGGTGTGAAGTGGTGTTTCATGGTTTTGATTTTCATTTCCCTAGTAACTAATGATATTGAGCTTCTTTTCATGTGTTTATTAGCCATTCATATATCTTTGGAGAAATGTCTATTCAAATCCTTTGCCCATTTAAAAATTGGGCTGTTTGTCTTTTATTATTGAGTTATAAGAGTTCTTTATATATTCTAGATACAAGTTCCTTATGAGATACATGATTTGCAAATATTTCTCATTCTGTGGGTTGTCTTTTCACTTTCTTGATGATGTTTTTGGCAGCACAGAAGTTTTACATTTTGATGTAGTCTAATTTATCTATCTTTTGTTTCGTCATTTGTGCTTTTGGTGTTGTATTACTATTATTCTTTAAGGGAGTGTTCATTATGCCTTGGGTTTAATTGAATAACAGAGAGGAAGGTGATGATATTAACAGGGCACAGAACACAGAAGGGGAAGGGTGGGTGTTTCAGGGATGGGAGGTACTTGGGCAACAGAAGCCAGTGAATTCTGTTTCGGCTATGCTGAGTTTAAGGTACAGAGAGGACCAACAGAGAAAGAGATAGCAAATGGACAGCTGGAAATATAGGTTTGGAGGAAAGGAAAGAGGTCTGGAGATGAAAAAGAAGAGAATTAGGGGACTTCCCTGGTGGCGCAGTGGCTAAGAACCTGCCTGCCAGTGCAGGGGACACGGGTTCGAGCCCTGGTCAAGGAAGATCCCACATGCCATGGAGCAACTAAGCACATGCGCCACAACTACTGAGCCTGCGCTCTAGAGCCCGCAAGCCACAACTACTGAGCCCGTGTGCCACAACTACTGAAGCCCGTGCACCTAGAGCCTGTGCTCCACAACAAGAGAAGCCACTGCAATGAGAAGCCCGTGCACCACAATGAAGAGTAGCCCCCACTCGCCACAACTAGAGAAAGCCCGCACATAGCAACAAAGACCCAACGCAGCCAAAACAAAAAAAAGAGAGAGAATTAGGAGGCATCATCTTAGAAATGACAAGTGAAGTAGATGAGTTCCACCCCCACGGGGGGAACAGCATCTAAGAGAAAAGAAAAGGGGGACCTAAAACAGCCCCCTGAAGATTATCTACATGTTTTGGGGGAGTGTGTGGAGGAATGTTTGGAGGAAAAACAGAAAAGTACTGTCATGGGACCAAGGGAGCATGTGTCAAGGAGGAGGATGTGACTGGCAGCATTACACCAGGAGTAGAGGAAGGCGGGGGAGGTGAGGAAATAGAGGTACTTGGCTGCAAGGAGGTCAAGTGGGGCTGTGAGGTAGCAAATCTGGACTGCGGGTGTCAGAGTGGGTGGGAAGGCAGCAGCAAGAAATACGAAGTAGTTGGAGGGTGAGAGGGAGGGAGACACAAGAGGGAAGAGATATGGGAACATATGTATATGTATAACTGATTCACTTTGTTATAAAGCAGAAACTAACACACCATGGTAAAGCAATTATACCCCAATAAAGATGTTTAAAAAAAAAAAAGAAATACGAAGTAGTTGAAAAAAGAGGGAACGTGGAATATCTTAATAGAAATGTAGAGTGATAAAAGGTTTTCATTTTTGCCTTGGTTTTGAGGATTAGGGGTTAAGTATTTTGTGGCCTAAGGGGAAGGAGAGATGGGAGAGATGAGAGATTCAGTGGGAAGTATTAATTGATAGGCTAAAGTCTTGTATAGATGGGAGGGACTAGTGATGAATGGAAGAGTAAATTTTTTCAAATTCATTTCACCACAGCCCTTTTTTTAAAAAAAAATTTAAGGTAGATTTCCTAACATCCTTTAGTATAGTATTTGGGTCACTAGTTGGGAAATGATCTAGTTTAGAGCATCTCAAGGTCAGGGACTTGATTTATCTCTGAGGTATAGCCCCTGGAACATAATGGTTGTGATAGTGGTAGGTGGGTGGACAAAGTAAGGAAAGATAGAGGGTCCCATCCCCCCATACAGGAGGTGAAGTAGTAAGAATGGATATGGATGCAGATAATGAAGGTGAGAAGTTGAAGTTCACAGTGAGCAGGAGATGAGTTGACTACTAAGAGCTAGTGGGGTGGAGGTCCCACTGTCACCCTTTTCTGTTCTCATTCTTTTACATGTATTTTTATTATATATATAGGACGTGAATTCTTTGTCATTGTAAACATGGGAGCAGCACAGCCCTGTTGATTTTTAACACCATTTTTTGTGTTCCCAGTTAATGCTGTCAGAGTGGTTAATTGACGTCCCTTCAGATTTGGGTCAGGAATGGATTGTGGTCGTGTGCCCTGTTGGAAAAAGAGCCCTTATTGTGGCCTCCAGGGTGAGTAGCTGCTCCTGCCCCCGGCACCAGCATGCCTGGCCTGTGGCGGGAGGGGTTCTCTGCACACTCTGTGTTCCTCATCTGCCACAGCAGCTGTCCCTGCCATGGGGATTGAAACGCTTTCCTGCAGGAGGGATTTGATGAGAGCCATCTTTGGGCTGATGGCACCCCTGCAGAATGTGGAAGCAGGAGGGTGAGGAGACCTTGATGCCTGACAAGAATGGTAATTGTCCACACAGGGCTCTACCAGTGCCTACACCAAGAGTGGCTACTGCGTCAGCAGCTTTTCTTCCCTTCTGCCAGGAGGCAACAGGCGAAACTCAGCAACAACAAAAGGTACCTACGTACAATTGACTGTTTATTAACTTTTAAAATCAGTGCTTGGTTAGTTGCTTAGTTAGTTGTTTTAAAGACCCACTTTAAAAGCATACTTTTGAAACTGCGCACAGGTAATATCCTGCCCTCTGGGCTCTCCCTCAAGGTCAGGCCTCCTCAGTAGCAGAATAGTTGCAACTTGTGAGGCCTGCTGGGCAATAAACCCCTAAATTAAAGTCAATGCACCTTTCCCATGGACTTCCATCACAAGATGACAGGTGCAGTTCTCTGGGGAAAGGACCCCCAGAAGGCCAAATGTAATGTACAGTAAGCTGTTGCTGCGACTTCCTGCCGAATTCCCTTTTCTCCTTTCTCAGTGTCCTAATCTTAGCTTATTCCTCCCACCTGGGCCCAGCCAGGGAGACTAAGGTCACGAAAGTTTGCCCGGGGTCATTCAGCGAGGAGTTGGCAGAGCTGCCAGAACCGTTCTCTCACCTCTGTCTGCCCAGGCTCTGCTGGTGGTTATTCCTGTCCTCTGTTCTGAGCCCTCTATTGGCTTTTTTTTTTTACTCGAGCCTGAAATGCGCTCCCACCTCCCCTCTACCCTGTTATTTTAGTCCTCTGATCCCAAAAGATTGTTCATATCCCATCTCTTCCATGAAGCATTTTCTGGAACTCTCGTTTTTCTTAGTTTGTGCTGTATAATTCAGGTCTTGGTTCTTTCCTCTGTAATCATCTTATCTCCTTAACTGGATTGTAACTTCCTTAAAGGCAGGGATTACTTATAGTTAATATTCCCCACAGAACACAGTGCCTGTGTTAGGAACTCAAAAAGTAATTGTAAACTAAAATGGAAGATTACTTCCCTTCAAACTCGAGCTTCTCTAAGGTGAGTAAATGTCCCAGTTTTTCTAAAGGTTCAGAGTTCACACTGAACCTTCTTGTGCTGTCATACCTCAGGTCACCCCTAGACTGTGCCAGGTAGCCAGAAAAGGCTGTGAAGAACTTTGTCCTGTAGTGCCGGTGCTTGCCGTGAGCACTGAGGATTGTTGGATTCGGTTCCCAAGCCCCTAAGATGGGGCTCCCCAGATTGTGGTGGAGGGAACCCTGATGGGAAGGGGTACCCTGTACTGACTTTCTACTTTGTGTCTCCAGACTACACCATTCTGGACTGCATTTACAGTGAGGTGAACCAGACCTACTACGTTCTGGACGTGATGTGCTGGCGGGGACACCCTTTTTATGACTGCCAGGTAAGGACTGATACTCCCCTCATGTCTTCTCCTGTTTTCTCCTCTCCTCCCAGGAAAGTGGCTCAGCATGTGTGTTTAGTACGTGACCAACTTCTTGGTGTGTACAGGATGTGGTATATCAAGAACATTGTCTAATGTTCCTTGCATCTTTGGGTGTGTTTAAATTAGCTTCATTTATAAAAAGAGGTAGGAGGAACTAAGGGAAGCATAGCAATTCTTGAGGGGAGGACGGAGAAACAGAGTGTAGGGTAGGCTGGGACTTCGTAGAAGCTGTAACCGCCCCCTCCCCTCTCTCCAGAGTGTGGGAGGCTTGCTGGCAGGGAAGGTTGCAGGTGAAGGGGATGCTGCCTTGTGCAGGCGGCACAAGGAAGAGAAGGTGGAATGTTAAGCACCATCAAATAGACTTCTGTCACCTCCACTCTTCACCAACCACATCTTGACCCTGAAAATGTCAGGGCCTCCTTGGTATGACCGTAAGGCCTCGAATCTCTGAGGGGTTAGCTTTGGAAGGAGATTTTCCAAATGGGGAGAGGCCCCCCACCCAATATTCTCCCCTTAGGTTTCACCTTCCCACAACATTTTTCTCAGATTGGTGATTTTTTCAAGTGACAGACGCAGTCATCAGAGAGAGGCTAGGTCACCCGACAGGGTCCATCTCTGCTCCTATGCTCCCCATTGTTGTTCCAGTTCTAAAGTGGTGGGTTTTTTATGCTCCCCGTCAATTAGTTTATCATAGTGGTTCTCAGAATGTTGAATGTGTGGCCTCAGAAAGTTGTTAGTAATGCAAATTCTTAGACCTACTGAATCAGAAACTCTGGGGATGGGACTTACGTTTTAATAAACCTACAGGCGATCCTCATGCAGGCCCACGTGTCCGAATCACAGGTTATCACCACAGGCTGCTTCTTTCTGTAGCCATTACCCCAAGGTAGGTTTCCAAATTGTGCTAGGTGCTGGTACTTCAGAATTCTAGCATGCATCTCATTCAAAAAATAATAGCCAAGGGACTTCCCTGGCGGTCCAGTTTAAGACTCTGCACTTCCAATGCAGGGGCCATGGGTTCAATCCCCAGTCAGGGAACTAAGTTCACACATGCTGCACGGTGTGGCCAAAAGATAAAAAAACAAAAACAACAACAAAAAAATAGCCAAGACCTGCATTACTAAGCACTTTGTGAGCATGATCTCATTGAATCCCTTACAACTCTAAAAAGTAAGTATGTACTATTGTTATTACTCCTCATCATTTAGATATGAAAGCTGAGAGCCACAGACGTTAAGTACCTTGCCCAAATGCAGAGCCAAGCCTAAAACTCAGAACTCAAAAGTTCAATCGAGGGACTTCCCTGGTGGTGCAGTGTTAAGAATCTGCCTGCCAGTGCAGGGGACACAGGTTCAAGCCCTGGTCTGGGAAGATCCCACATGCCGCAGAGCAACTAAGCCCGTGCACCACAACTACTGAGCCTGTGCTCTAGAGCCCACGAACCACAACTACTGAAGCCCACACGCCTAGAGCCCATGCTCTGCAACAAGAGAAGCCACCGCAACGAGAAGCCCGCGCACCACAGCGAAGAGTAGCCCCCGCTCACCGTAACTAGAAAAAACCCACGGGCAGCAACGAAGACCCAGTGCAACCAAAAATAAATAAATAAATAAATTTATTTTTTAAAAAAAGAGAGAGAGAGGCCGCGCAGCAACGAAGACCCAATGTGGCCAAAAATTAATTAATTAATTTTTAAAAATTAAAAAATAAAAATTCAATCAGGAACATATTTTCCTATAATTCTGTTGAAGGATGTTTCATAACATGCATTTACAACCTACAAATTTGATAACTAAAGCCACCTATATTTTGACAATATAAAGAAAAGATTGTGGGTTTTTTAGTTTTGGTTTTGGAAATTAAAAAAAAAAGAAAGAAAGAAAAGTCCCTAAATAACAACAGAAGCATATGTATCAGTAATTTAGATCAATAGTAATTTGGAATAAAGTAGTTTATGTGAAGCTACAGCTATAAAGTAGTTTCTAATCCTTAGGTAAAATAAAACAGAGGTTAACGTGATGTGCTTTGGAGTTGGTGAGTCCTGGTCCCATAGTATTTCTGTGTGCACCTGGGTGAGTGATGTAATCTCTCTGAGCCTCAGAGTCCTCACCTGTAAAATGGAGATAATAATAATACAATTCTCAGAGGATGGTTGAGGATTAATACGATTGTGTATGTAAGGTCCTTAGCATGGAGCCTGAGACATAGTAGGCCTTCAGTGATAAATGTTGGCATTACTACTATTAATAATTCTATTGGATTTTAAGGAAAAAACATTTAAAGATTTTATGAACATCTTCCTGACCTTACGGCAGTGTTTTAAGGGAAATGAAGGTGAGAGAAGGGCTTAGGTCTTCATAAATCAGGTGGCTGTTTTTTTCCCAGTTTTATTGAAATTAAACTGACATGCAACACTGTAAGTTTAAGGTGTATAGCACAATGATTTGACTTACATATATTTTGCAATAGTTACCTGAGTAAGTTTAGTTAACACCCACCATCTCATATAGATACCAAAAAGAAAAGAAAAAAATAAATGTTTTTTTTCCCTTGCCATGAGAACTCTTAGGATCTACTCTCAACAACTGTCATGTATATACCAGACAACAGAGTTAACTATTGTCATTGTGTTGTACTTTCCATCCCTAGTACTTATTTATCTTATAACTGGAAGTTTGTACCTTTTGACCATCAGGTACCTTTTTAGAATGGGGTGTTTTTGTTCGTATTAGAGTTTGAGGTGAGCAGTTTTTAATCTTTCCCTTTCTCTTCTCTGGCAGACTGATTTCCGATTCTACTGGATGCATTCAAAGTTACCAGAAGAAGGACTGGGAGAGAAAACCAAGCTCAATCCCGTAAGGCCTGGTGTTAAGATTGCAGAGTTCTTTATGGGGATTGGTTTGGATTGGTCTGTTATCTAAATATAATCATTATGAATAAAATTATCTTTTTTTTTCTTTTTGAGGCAGCATGGCATAGTGGGAAAAGTATGGACTTAACAGTTATCTAGATTCCAGTTTTCGCTTTAACAATTACCAGGTTAAGTTAATATCTTTACTTGGCCTCAGTTTCTTCATCTGTTTAATAGGGTTAATAATACCTACTTTACAGGGTTTTTCTAAGAACCAAATTATATAAATATACAAGTCTTTCTAGCATAATACTTACGGTGAGCACTCAATAAACAGTGGTTGGTATAAAATGCTAATAACTGTTTTTATTAATAACACTATTTAGAATTCTCCAACTGTAGCCTGCATCAGCAGCCTCTGGAGGCTTGGTAAAACGTAGGCTCCTGGGCCTCACCCCCAGAATTTCTGATTCAGTAGGTCTGGGGTAAAGCCTGAGAATTTGCATTTCTAACAAGTTCTCCAGTGAAACTGATACTGCTGGTCCATGGACCACACTTTGAGAACCTCTGCCTTTGCATCTGAGCTAAGAGTGACCTCATCTAGTCAGTCCCCTCTGTTTATAGATTAGTATATAGGCTCAGAGAAGGGACTGCCTTCCCCAAGGTCCCATAGTTCAGGATGATAACCCAAATGTCTTGGCTCTTCGCTCAGTGATTAAATATGGGACAGTTGTTTTCATTGCATTTTATTAGTTAAGCCCTGTAGACTGGCATTTGCTTGGGTTGCTTACAGCATTTTTAAAAGCAACTGAATAACCAGTTACAGGACAATAAATGGGACCAGTACTTCCAGTGATGTTATCAATAAGGTCCTAGAAGAACATGCACTGAGGAAAGGGAACATGGGTACTACTTTCTCTGAGATGCTGTTTGGTGTGTGCTACATGTACTATCTCATTGTATCTGCATAACAATCCTACGAAGTAGATATTTTATTATCCCTTTTTACAGATGGGAAAATGGAGGCATATGGAGATTAAATGATTGACAGAGCTGGGATTCAAACCTAGGCAATCTGACTCAGAGGTTGTCATAGTCCTAATCACTTTGGTATACTGCTTAAGTGTAAAAACTTTTGCTGGTGTGAAAGGGGCTTCACCAGTCCTTCATTAGGGGCAACTGTCATAGAGCTGGGAGAATAACATAGAATCCCTAAACCTAGCACATAGAATCCCTAAACCTAGTCAGGTTCTCAGTCCTGACTGCATGAATCAACTGGAGAGCTTAAAAAAAAAAAAAGACTGGATCCCACTCCAGAGCAGTTCAGTCAGAATCTCGGGGTGGTGCTTGGGCGTGAGTAATTTTTAAGAGTTTCCCAGATGGTTCTCCTGTATAAAGCAAGGTTGAGAACTCCTGACCTAGTAATTCAGAGGATAAGTAGAGGGGAGTGGGTAGGGAAGGATGAGACTGAAAACTTCTCTTCTTTGATACAGCTGTTCAGTTGCTGGAACCAATATTGTTTGTAACATGTACTAATTCTTTGTTCTGATTTATGTTTTAGTTTAAATTTGTGGGGCTAAAGAATTTCCCTTGTACCCCTGAGAGCCTGTGTAAGGTGCTGTCTATGGATTTCCCTTTTGAGGTAACAAAACCATTGTTTTTATTGCTCTGATCTGATTGTAAGACACAGGGACACTTGGTTTTACAGTCTTAAGAGAGCCTCTGACTTTGCTGTGTCAAAGCATCAGAAAAGGGCTAAATGCTGACTCTTGGAAAAGGATGTGCTCGTGGCCCTTCATAGCCTCAGTGCCACCCTGCCAGATAAGTCAGAATGCCAGAGCTGGAAGGGCCCTTGAAAGGACAGCTCATCTAACTCCCTCATTTTACAGATGGAGAAACTGAGGCCCAGAGAGGGGTGAGGCTTCCATTCCTAGGTCCTTCTTGTGTGCCTCTTTCTGCTACAAGCCAGAGAACGAGGCCCCTTGTTTGACTGCCACAGCTGGGGCTTCTGTGACTGACAGACTGCAGGGCTGTGAATTCCTAATCCTTCCTTCCTCCGAAGAGCAAATGGTCCCCAGGGATGGCAGTGCTTGCTGAGCAGTGGCATGGCAATGGGGCGACCAACTTGTCCAAGGTTGCCCAGGACTTCCCTGGTTTTAGTGCTGAAAGTCTCACATCCCCAGAATCTCCTCAGTCCTGGGCAGTCTTTTGTCATCCTCAGAACCTGCAGTTACCCTACAAGCAGACTTCCTTTGCCCATGATACCCTTTAAAATTCTGCCTGGTCACCTGCAAGTATTTGCTTGAACTGGATATAATTTTGCTAAAAGGATCACAGCTTCCCAAATGATGAAATGGCAAAGGCTGAGTTGCCTGCATTTCTGGGAGTCAGTTAAGAAGGTGGTAAGAACACCATCTTTGTTTATAACCCTTATGCCCCAGTGACAATAAATGCTTTTTAGAGATGAGTCACTGAATCACAGAAAAGAACATATGGGACTGTGGGAGGTCTTCCCGTTGAGAAAAACTGAGTTTCCCAGAACATAGCTCACAGACAATTTAGGGGGAGGTTTAGGCAGCCAGCAATGGCTAGGGAGCAGGGCTTCTTGACAGGCTGTTTCCCCTGCACTCAGCAGTCCAGCATCTTGGAGGGGCTTGTCCAGTCCCCCGGCTTTGTTCCCGGTGTGGAGCACATCCCCCACTACAGAGACCTCCGGGTGGTGGAAAGTGAATGGGATTTGAGGAGAGAAGACCTGGGTTCAGGCTGAATTTCTGCTTCATACTCACTGTGTGTTTGAGGGAGGCTCCAGAACTCCCTGAGTCTGAGCAGCTTCATCTCCCAGACACTTCCATGGTGGGTAAGAGGGTGAAATACTAGGTAGGAAAGCACGCTGTAAACGGGAAAGTACTTTTTATGTTTTTATTTTCTAAAATTTAGTTTTCTAGGCCATTTCTTCTTTTAGAGAAATTCATGTGTGAGAAACAAAGACTCTTTTTCTTCTGGCAGTGACCCAGAGAAAAAGAGCTGGACCACAAGAGCTACCCCAGTGCATATAGGTCTCCTACAAACATGTGGCCCCAGAAGTCATTCTGATCCCTGGTTTTCTTTCTTGTAGGTAGATGGGCTTCTCTTCTACCACAAGCAGACCCACTATAGCCCTGGAAGCACTCCTCTGGTGGGCTGGCTGCGCCCCTACATGGTGTCAGATGTTCTTGGCGTAGCTGTGCCAGCTGGCCCGCTGACTGCCAAGCCAGAATATGCTGGGTACCAGCTCCAGCAGATTATTGAGCACAAGAGGAGCCAGAAGGAGGGAATAAAGAAGATACTCACACACAAGTCCTCTGAGAATGGACGCTATGAGTTGGAGCACCTGTCTACCCCCAAGCTGAAGAGCCCTCCCCATAGCCCCAAGCACCCAGGGAGCCTCATGGATAACTAGAGAGGGCAGCGTCCTTTGGGAGTCACAGGATGGGGGTTGGTCCCAGAAGGAAGGCTGGGGAGGAGGACAGTGACGAGAACAAGATGACTTCATTTTAGAGCAGACTTTCCAAAGCCACTCCAGCTGGAAACAGCTTATCTCCTATCTGAAGTGCTGGCTTTAACAGTTGGGGGAGGTTTCCAGATTGGGTAGTCTTTGCATTTGAGCAGCAACTCCTGTGAAAAATGTATTTCAGATCCACAATGTAAATGTATGTAATTCTTACGGAAGAAGTTGTTTGTGATTGTTAAACTTTATTTATTTTATTTGTGTGTGTGTGTGATTCTTAAACTTTAGATAGTCAGGAATCTCCCCCACCTCTACCCCTTCAGGCCCCCTAAACCATGACTGTTCAAGTCTTGGCCCATTTCACTCTGTTTTTAGCACTTAAGCATTCTGCTGAGTTTCCAGTTGCTGCTGTTGGTAACGTCATTTTCTCAAAGGTCTTACCAGGAACTGCAGTTCTTGGTATTTGAATATGTTCCCTCTTCTGAGAAGACAAGTGTGATTTTCTTTGGTTTAGACACAGCCAGAGATAAAATGCAAATGGAGTTCATTCACTACTTCAGCCAACATTTGAGCACCTTCCAGAAGATAAGCCTTGTGCTTATGTAGAGTGGGTTATGGTGAGGGACCATACTTCATCCCTGCCCTTGAGGAGCTCACGATCCAGTGAGAAAATAAACCCACCAGCATCTAGAGTGGGTCCAGATGGTGGGATGATTGCTTTAGTGCAGAAAGGGGCATAGAGCATGGGGTGTGGGGGGATGCTGGGAAGAGCAGAGGGAGGTTTCACAGAGGAGTTCAAAGCTGGGCTGAGGCTCAGAGGAGGGACAGAAATGTGCTCTGCAGACAAGGAGGGCAGGAGTTTCTCACAGAGGCAGGAGGGTGTGCAGATGCACCCCTCCAGAGCTGGGAAGGACTTGCTCTGGGACCTGAAGTCGGTTCAGCATGGCTCAGTTGTCAAGTAGGGCTGGAAAGCTATGGGAAAGGAGGCTGGAAAGAGATGGGTCTGATCATAAATGGCCTGTGTGTTATGCAGAGGTTTTGGGTTTTATGTATGGATGAAAGGGAGCTGATGAAGTGCTTTGAGCAGGCAGGATCCATTCAGATTTTTAACTAGAGCTCTTTGGCAGCTGTGGGAGTGGAAGATGGCGTCTAACACCAACCAGTTTCTGCTCTGTGTTCAGGAAATGTGTCCTATTTCCCGTGGCCTCAATCTGCTCCCCATACTACTTTCCACTTTTCTAGGACTTCTCTTACAAGAGAAAAGGACTTCACTGTTCCACTCCAGCAGTACTAGTATCCTGTGGACAAAATTTCAGAGGGATCCAGGGCAGATCTTGTCTGACACGCAGTTGTTTCTTTGTGTTGATTAGTTCTGGGAACAGATCCGGGCAGAAGTTGTGGTTAAGCAGAGCCTCATTACACAAATTCAGAACACCACTGGAACTAGCCTCAGTGTTGGGCTCTTAAAGAGCTGCTCGGGCTGACTCTGTAAAATTGGTGAAGGAAGAAACCCCTTCCTCCCCTACCCAATGATGACCCAGCTGGCTGCAGATTTAAGCGTGCCTATATCAATAAGCTCTTTCCTGAATTTAGGTCAACTCTGCAATAGAAACATTGTGTTCCTCTTGCCAAAAAGCTTGTTGTAGGCTGCTTAAAGGTTTAGTCTCTTCTGAATGCTCTAGTCTGCTCTCAGCAGCCAACTGTATCATTTCAGGAGATGTGCATGCTAGTATCAGTAGAGACTTGTCTGGGCTCTGCCCAGAAATAATCGGTCTGGAAGGACTACTTCCCCAAAGAACACTCTCTGGGGACAGATGCATGAACCAAAGAACATATTAGCCAAACTTATCACCATGCACGACTTGATACTGCTGAATGGTAGCTTGAAGGCTGTATCTCAGGGGAGTGCTCTTATATTTTTAACTGAGGAGCCAGTATTATTTATCATCACTGAATAGAATATGTCTCTTGGTCATATTTCTCTGCGAATTATAAAGTCACCTCCTGCCACCTGTTTCAAATATGGTTTCGTTATAGGTTTCTGGGATTGGATATTGGTTATTTTAATGTTAACTCATAACTTAGATTGTAGAGGAAATGGAGAAGAAAGAGGTGGGACCTAAGGACATGGTGACTCACTAGCTATGAAAGGTAAGAAATGGACAGGAATCATCAGAATGATTCCTAGGTTCCTAACTTGGGTGACTAAATGCTATTAACAAGGACAAGAATCCCAGGAAGAACATAATTGAGGGGGACTGGGGGGAAAGATAATGAGTTCAGTTTGGGACATGCTGAGTTTTAAGTGACTGGGAGACTGACTGGTAAGTAGTTAGGCCTTAATTCAAGTCTTCATCATTTCTTTTCTGCAGCACTGCCAGAGGCTCTTACTCTGCCACCAGTTTCCCTGCCACCAGTCTTCCCCCCTCCCCAACAGCTCCAATCCATCCCTGTCACAACTGGCAGAGTGATCCTTTCTAAAAGTGCACATCTGATCATGTTACTTCAAGGACTTCCCTTCGCCTACAGGGCACATGTGAAGCTTCTTGGCCTGCTATGCAAGTTTCTTCATGACGTGGCCTTAGTGTATCCGTCTAGTCTCATAAAATACCTTGCTTCCTTTTCTGCCTCCTTTCTAGTGATGCTGCTTTATAGTTCGCAGTACAAACACACGTATTTTATATTTTTCCCCCCAAAACCATCCCTTCTCACTCTGATTTTATCCACCTGGTGAATATACCTACTCATCTGTTGAATAAACAGATACCTGTTTGAAACTTTACCTCTGCAGGTAGAATTAGCCGTTCTCATCTTTGTGCCCTCCCCATCCCACTACACATCTGTTTCCCAAAGTTACGGAGAGTCCCCAAGACTGCTCTTTGGTTTGATAATTCACCAGAAGGACTCACACATTCACTGAAAACTGTTTTACTCACAGTTACAGTTTATCACAGTGAAATGAAACAGATTTAAGTCAGCCAAGGGAAGAAATGCATGGAGCAGAGTCCAGGAAAGTTTCAAACATGGATCTTCCAGTTGTCTTCTCCCAGTGGAGTCATGGACAGCTTTAAACTTCCTACTAACTGTGTGACAAAACTCATGGAGTATTGTCAACCAGAAAATCTCACCTGAGCCTTGGTGTCCAAAGTTTTTTATTGGACTTGGTCACACAGACCTGGTTGGCCAACCTCAATCTCCAGCCCTTCCTGGGGTCTAGTTGATAACGTGTGGTCCAAGTCCCCCTCCCTCCTAGTCACATTACTGGATTATCTAGTGTGGCAAAAGACCCCCATGCAAACAAAGACACCTTTATTAGGCAGGACATTCCAAGGGCTTAGAGGTTCCTTACCAGGAACCAAGGGCAAAGGTCAGCCTCTCTTTGGGCAAGATTAAATTCTTTTTTTTTTTGCAGTACGCGGGCCTCTCACTGTTGTGGCCTCTCCCGTTGCAGAGCACAGGCTCCGGATGCGCAGGCTCAGCGGCCATGGCTCACGGGCCCAGCCGCTCCACGGCACGTGGGATCTTCCCGGACCGGGGCACGAACTCGTGTCCCCTGCACTGGCAGGCGGACTCTCAACCACTGCGCCACCAGGGAAGCCCCAAGGTTAAATTCTTTATTGCACACTTCCTCTATTAGATTGTAAGCACTTTGAGGTCAGGGACCTTGTCTTATTTATCTTTAGGTCGCTGGTGCTTGGCATCATGCCTGCTACTTGTTGTACCAATATATGTTTGCTGAGTGAATGAAATGATGAACTGGAATGAGAATGCAGTCTGGAGGGAAGCCCCTTCACTCTCTGCTGCCCAGGTTAGTGACCCTGGAGAGAAGACTGAGTGGAGGTGTGTGGCAGGCTGCTAAAAGTTGTTTGGATACGTTTCAGACTTCTAAGAACAAGAACTGTATTTAATTCTGTGAATGTGATTAAAAGGATAGCCAAAAACCTTCTCACTACGTACATTGGAAGAGGGAAAGAAATGATCTTCCTAGCTATAGACTTCCTTTCTAATAAAGAAATGAGTAAAATCCCATAATATGTATTTTTTAAGCAAATGCGGTCTTTTGGTTTATGCCTTCAGATATGTAGGGCAGGAAAAGTTGACAAAAAGCCTTGAGGTTTTAGCCAGAGTATGACTGGTTGCTTTGGTAAAATAAGCTGATTTTTGAGTCCCATGTTATGTTAGGATTCTGTTATTATACCCAATCTTTACATCAAAGAAGGACCAGATTAATCTGTGGACTTAATTTATCCATTCTGCTCTGGCCTCCCCATTAACACAGGTAAGTCAAAGAGAGTGAGAGTAAAGTAACTCAGTTGGTACCTCTCTCCTGTATTGAATGTTTTCCCCGTGAGCAATTAAGTACCCAAGGTAACCAAACCTGTTTGGTACTCTTTGGCAAGAATTGTACCTTGTTTGCTGGAAAAGGATGGGTGCATTCTTTCAGCAAACATTGATTGAGCACCAGCTATTCTGAACTATATATTATGCTAGGTTCTGAAGAGAGGGCGATGAATAAGACATGGCCTCTGCCCTCAAGGAACTCATGGTCTAGTGGGAGAGACAGACAAATAAGCAAATAATTACAATTCAGAGTGTTAGGTAAACTCTAGACAACAGGTATCAAGTATTGAAGTAACAACAGGTATCAAGAATAGTGACTGATTAACCTGTGATCTGGGAGTAGTAAATAGGGGTGTCAGATGAGAAAATTGTTTGTGTGAGGAAGAAGCCAGATCATATTTTAGTTTAGAGAAAAAGAAAAGAATAGAAAAAGCAGAGAATAGCAGTAGGTAAATACCAGGCCCTAAAGTATTGGGTAATGGGGGAAATGTTATCTACAAGGGACAAGATTTTTCACCTTCCTTACATAGCTTACTTCAGCCATCCTAGTGATTATAGCTTTGGCCTATGAGTAAACAAGAAAAAATTTTCAACCTAGACATCGGTTAGTACTTTGACCTTACTTATTCTGTATCTGTCTTTTAGACATGTCTCTTTCATAGGCAGTAGGTATTTTGGAGCAATTTCTGAGAGAAGCTTTAGAGTTCAGAAGTAAAGGTGTTTTGGGGGAAAGGTTACAAAATTCTAATCACAGCTTTGGAAGTATCTCTATTCCTAGATCCAAACAAATATTAAAAAAGGCAGGAGAGGGACTTCCCTGGTAGCGCAATTGTTGAGAATCTGCCTGCCAATATAGGGGAAATGGGTTTGATCCCTGGTCCAG